GTAACTCTTTTCCATTCAAAGATTTTTTTCTTTTATTTTGGATTATTCCTTTTTGGAAAAATGTATTTTGCTCTTTTTAAAAACTTTTTTTTTTTTTTATGACATATTTTGATTTTGATTTACAACTAAATTGGTATCGAAATATTTTTTTAATGTTTGCTGATAAAAATTCAGTTTTTAGGTTCTTTTCATATTTTTTTTTTTCTTCTGCAAAAGATTTTTACGTAAAACTTGGAATTTTATCTATTTTTTTTTTTTTTTTTTTTTTTGAATTTTCAATATTTTTTAAAAATTTGAAAGGAATTCTTTTTTTTATTTTTAAAAATCAACATTGAAAATTTTTTAATTTTTATTTTCATTGAAATATGGATTATTTTTGATTCAAGAAAGCTCAATTTTTGATTTATTTTTTTTAAATTTTTTTTTTTTTAAAAAAATGTATTTTTGAAGATCTTTTTTCTTTTTCATATTTTTATTTTTTTGGTTTCTAAATTTCATTTTCATTTTAATTTATGACTTATTATTGAAATTACATTTATTTTTATTTTTTTTTATTTGATAAATTCTTTTTTTTTAATTTTCAAAACATAAATCAAAATTTTCAATATTTTTTGCCATTATTTCTTCTTAAAAATATCCATTTTTCATTATTCCGGAAAATTTTTTTTTTTTATAAGTAAATATTTTCGATTTTTTGATTTTTTCAATTTTTTTTCTTTTCTTTTTCACTTGTTGTTTTAAAATTTGATTTTTTATTTGAATTATTTATTACAATTTTTTTTCAAATTCAAACCATATTTCAATCTTGAATAAAAAAATCATTATTTATTCCTTCAATTTACATTTTTATTTTTTTTATTAATTTTTTTTAATTATTTCCATATTATCAGATAAAGTTCCTTAACAAAAATATATCATTATATTTAAAGACGGTTATTTTTTTAAAAAATTTATTTTTATTGAAATATTTTTAAATTATTTATTATTTATTTAAAATTTTCTAATTTCCAATTTTTTTTTTTAAAATATTATTGTATTTTTTTTAAAAATTTTTTCTGCTTTTTTTTTTTTTTTATTTATTATTTTTTTCAAAAAATATTAATATTTTATGGTTTTTTAAAATTAATTTTTTTTTTTAGATTTATTTTTTTTTATTTAACCACAGATTTGGGTTCAGGGTTTTTCTAATTTGTTTCAATACATTAAACATTTCTAAAATTAATAAAAAAGTTTAAATTCTTTTTTTGATGGTCGATTTTTCAAATTTTAAATTTTTTGCGAATTTTTTCAAGTTGAATCAATTTTATTTTTTCCTTTCTGTTTTTTTGAATTAATAAAACTTGGTGATTTTTTGCTTTTTTTAATTTTTTTTTTTTTTTTTTTTCTTAAATTTGTTTTTGTTCGTTTTTTTTCATATTTTTCAATTTTTTATTATTTTATTAAGTTTATTTTGGATTTTTATTTTTCAATTTATATATTTTATCTAGTCCATTTAATTTCTTTGTTTTTATTATGATTTTGTTTTTTTTAGAATTTCAATTATAAATTCTTAGTAATTCATATTTCTAATATTAAATTATATTATTTTTAACATTTTAATAGAATGGTCAAGATGGCATATTTTTTTTAAAATTTTTGAATTTTGATTCATTCATTTCGTTTTTATATTGTTTTTTTGATAATTTTAAACAAAACGTTTTTTAATATTTTTCTTTTTTTATTTACATTTTTAATATAGTTTATTGTTTATTATTGTTTGTTATTATTAGCATTATTATTTTATTTTAAAATTTTTGTTAAATTGTTTTCGTATTTTTTTATTATTATTATTTTATTTTATTATTATTATTTATTATTATTATTATTATTATTATCATCATCATTCGATTTCTGCTATGGACACACTACCTACCAAGTCTGCGGAAAGACCTAAGGCAGGTCGTGGTGTGTTGTTATGGCCACATTTCATGTTAATTTTTTTTTTTTTTTTTTTTTTTTTTTTCTCCGATGAAGTTGCTAGCGTTACATAGACAAAGTTCTCCTTAGTGTGTGTGCTGTACTTAATAAGACAATTTTCTGTATGTCTCTTAAGCTGGGGTTTCCAGGGATTCTTTCAATGTGTTGTTTTGTTCCATTTTTTATAATTCCAAGTGCACCTATTACCACTGGTATTATTCTTGTTTTCAATTTCCACATTTTTTCTATTTCAATTTCCAGGTCTTTGTATTTTGATAGTTTTTTCAAATTCCTTGGTTGCTATGTTACAATCCGCTGGACAAGCCATATCAATTAGTAGGCAAGTTTTTTTTTTTGGTTTTTGACAATAATGTCCGGCCTATTTGCTTCAATTTTTCTGTCTGTGTGGATGGTATAATCCCATAGAATGGTGACATCTTCTATTTCTGTAACCGGCGCTGGCCGATGTTCATACCAGTGTTTGCTTACACATTTTCCAAAGTGTTTGCACATTGTCCAGTGTAAGTATTGCCCCACTCTATCGTGACGATTTTTATATTCATTTGGGGCAAGTATAGAACATCCTGAGATTAGATGGTCTATTGTTTCTTGGTATTTGTCACAGAACCTGCATTTTGGATCCACATTATTATGTATGATATTTGCCTGAAAATTCCTAGTGAAAAGACTCTGGTCTTGCGCTGCAAGAATAAAACCTTCAGTTTCAGACTTTAATCCAGATGCTCGTAACCATCGATGAGTATTAACTTTATCAACATTGGGTTTATTTGCACGTTCTGGATATTGGCCATGCAGAGGTTTGTCTTGCCAGCGTTGTTTCATCTGTTCAAGGGCTTTATCCTTGGCTTTCTTTTTCATATCTTTTGCTGCAATAGTTGGTTCTTGGCTTCTGTTTTGATTTACTACAGAATCTACTAAATGTAAATGTTGTTTGTATTTACTGCCTTCTTTTATTATTGAATATTTTTTCTTTCTGTTTTCATGTTGTTTCACTAATTTTATCATCCAGTCATTTGTTGTTTCCATGTAAGTTAGTAAGCCAATAGTTGTTGTCTTGTATGACAATTCTAGCTGAATAAGACCTCTTCCACCTTCTTTACGGGGTATGTATAGACGGTCTACATCAGCCTTTGGATGATGCATCTTATACTTAGAAAGAAGCTTTCTTGTTTTAGAATCCATTTGTCTGATGTCATTTAGAGTCCAGTTCAAGATGTTGAAACTATATTGGACCACTGGGATGGCAAGGTTATTAATGGCCATAATTCTGTTCTGAGAATTCAATTCAGTTTTTAATACCAGTCGTACCCTTCTATAGTACTCTTTACGCACTATTTCTTTCATTTTCTTATGGTGAATTCCTTCACTCTCATTTACACCTAGGTACTTATAAGCTTCTCCTTGTTCTAAATCTTTTATTGTTACAGCAGGGTCTAAACTAATAGAGGAAGTTTGTTGTAGCGATCCTCGTAAAACTGTAGCTTTAGCACATTTATCCAAATTGAATTTCATTCCAATGTCTTCACTGAAGCATTTTACAGTTTGCAGAAGACCTTCCAGCTCATTGTCATTCCTAGCATACAATTTTAAGTCATCCATGTAAAATAGATGGTTTATTTTCTTTTGAGCTATTTTGTAACCGCATTCTGTCTTGTTAAGTTGGCTGGTTAATGCTATAAGTGATATGCAAAATAATAAAGGAGACAAAGAGTCACCTTGAAATATTCCTCTATTGATGTTTATTTCGCCAGACTTATAGGTTCCATTTTTATGATTGAGGTAAAGTGTAGTTTTCCATATCGACATACATTGTTTGATGAAATTGATGATAACGGGTGATACCTTGTACATACTTAAAGACTTTAAGATCCAGGAATGTGGTACACTATCGAATGCTTTACGATAATCTATCCAGGCAATACTAAGATTTTTTTTTTTCCACGGAAGCAGTTTTCCAGGATCATCCTATTAATAAGTAATTCATTCACGATTATCAAATCATCCTTCGAAATTACAAAGGTATTGTTGGAATAAAATGCCTGCAATACAATCCAGGTTTCCTGCTGTCAACGAGCAAATCAGTGATTGCATCAGCACCATTGTATGTGTTTGTTAATTCATTCATTTTCCCATCAAATTCCATCAGATGCGTATGTGGTGTCCCTTCAGAGCGTGGGAGATAATGGCTCTCCACAGGTTCCCATCTTTCATAGCTCAAAGTATTATTTGCTATTCATCTCAGTCCTTGGTTTGACATCTGTTAACATTATCACGTTACGTCTGTTCCCCTATGTCTCCTTCTCTTTGTCTACCTCTGACCTTTAATAGGTCATGTCAGAATCAAATTCTTTAAACCGTTTCTTAGTTACGTGTCCCTGATATTACAATTATCTTTTTCGGATCCAATCGAGAAACGAAATCTACGCCAATGTTTGAATATTTTGCGGTTTGGCGACAAATATTTTGCCGCTGTAAACAGCGTTGAGAAACACACGCAGATTCCTTTTCAACGAAGCTTGTTATTAATAGTAGTAGCAGTATCGGGGTTATTAGTACTATTATTATTAATATTAGTATTATTATTATTTATTATTAGTAGTATTATTAGTGATATTATTATTAGTATTATTAGAGAAACGAAAACTACGCCAATGTTTGAAAGATTTACCATTTTGACTTACTAGCTGCTGGATTAATAATAAATAAAATAAATAATAAAATAATCAGGAAAAAAGAAAAGAAATCCTTTTTTCTTTATGATTTGGGAAGAAGGCTGTAAAATAGATCGGTTCTAACGTTGTGCAGGTAACTTCACTAACAGAAAGAATCAGTTAGCTCGTCGAATCATGTTGTGTATATACTTGAGTATTTTTTTTTCTTTCCGAAACAAAAGTGGATCCGTCAGTGAATAAGAAATCAATTTTCATCGGATCAGTCCCCCAGTTTTAGTAGCGACCATATCACGCCATTTGTTTCTGATTCTCGACATCATTCTGTCACGTCATGTCAATTTTTTTTTATTATCAAATTGCCTTTAATGGGTGATTTTCTCTTCTCAATTTCTTGGCTAATGGATACCAATCTGTTATTTAAAATGACCACATCTTGTCTAAAATTCACGTTACATAACTAGCTTAGTTTAACTTTTTAAGATTGACTTTCAAGAACAATATATTTGGAGTTGTTATCATTCATTATGTTGCAACATAGAAAGAGGAATGAGGAATGACCAAAACGGAAGCTGGAAATGAAATGGTAATATTTATAACATTAGCGAAATAAAATACTCGCCAGCGGCGTGGAGTAGGTAAACCACTGCTAGTGGTGGACTACTTAGACAGCATATTACCCCTACTTACAATAGCGTTCAACGTATGTATGAGGATTAGGACATAACCATTAGTGTTCATAGGTACGGTATATAACACATTATAATTTTTTAAAAGTATTTAACCTCAAGTAAGGTGACAAAGCCACTAACACGGAAAGATGCTACTGAACATGAAAGAATATAAGAAAGCATTATTAAGGAGCGAGAAGAATAAAAGAACAGAATTTAAGATGATAGAAGATAGCGATTGACACTGCATTTAATTTTTTGAATATCAAAGTTGACTGAAAAGCAAGAAGCCTGAAGAGAGCCTCCACCCAAGAGAAAAATGTGAGAAAAAAAAATGTTAGCATAGAACTTACGGTTACGTCTAGCGATTTCAATTATAAAACTTATCCGCAAATCTTGTACTGCGCTTAAATTTATAAAGTTTAGCTGCCATAGACGATAATTGATCAGAAGAATTACCAGGAAAGTAATTATAGAAAAGGCATAGGGAAGCTACGTTACGGTTGAACTGACTGAAACCGGGATGCCAGGGAATTTCATCAAAAATCTCTAAATATACAGCAAGAGCACTAGGCCAGCTGTGGCGGGAATATTTAAAACATGGACGAATGCTAGACATGTAAATATGTAAAATATTTTCTGACAAGAAATAGGGTCTAGCACGATACAGAGAACCAACTTCTCTAGCAGCACAGCTAGCAATTGATTCAATATAAGCTTTGTACGTCATAACAGCGAAAAAGGTTATCCGGAAAAGGCGCAAGCAGCCCATCTCATGGTGATTAGCATTCGCCATGCTGATGGAAGGTAGAGAAGCTTTCCTCAAACGGTTTTTTCATTCTGCGAAGACATCCATTTAAAGTTAACTGACCTGTAATAATGTTAAGAATCAGGCTAAACGATAAAAATGTGATAGTAGGATTGAGTTTAAGTATTACGCTCTCTAAAAGAAAGAAGATTAAGATTACCTTCTCTGTTATCCATTGAAACTGCTATCCACCAAAAAAAGAAAAAAAGAAAGAAAAAAGCCAGTCCCCACTGTGGGCCATTTAAAAGATTAATCACGCAGCGGATTGGTTGTTACAAACATCCAATCGGGTGAGCGGAAAATGTGGTCTTTCTTCGTCTAATTCATTAAAAGGCCAGAGCAGCTGTTAGCGTTTGAATAAGAGCGGGGAGATCGGGGATTGATTGGGTCGATTTGGTGATGGGGAGTATGATTTTGAAAAACCCGAAACTTCCTGATGAAGCAAGTCAATTTGCATTACTGACAGCTCCCTCAGGTGCCTACTCAATAGCGTATATTTGAATATATATATATATATATATATATATATATATATATATATATATATATATATATATCCTCGGTTATCCATTGAAACTGCTATCCACTGAAAAAAGAAAGAAGAGAAGCCAGTCCCCACCGTGGGACCATTTAAAAGACAGTTCGCGCAGTGGATTGGTTGTTATAAACACCCAATCGGGTGTGCGGAAACTTTTCGTCTAATTCATTAAAAAGACCAGAGTATCTGCTAGCGTTTGATTGCGAGGGAGAATCAGGGATTGATCTACCCTGATTGGGTCGACTTGGTGATGGGGAGTATGATGTTGAAAGTCCCGAAACTCCCTGATGAACCAAGTCAATTTGCATTACTGACGACCCCCTCGGGCGCCTACGAAAGAGCGCATTTTTTAAATTAAAAGAGAGTATTTTTTTTATCTTGGAGGCGATGAAATTAATAAGCAGTTCCTTGCTCAATTTAACAAGAGATTGTATGTTAGTTATGAGATCAGCTACCGGTTTATTTCTAATTTCCAATTTCTTGTGAATAATCTGTCCCATCGACTCTAAGCGAATGATAAGAGCTTGCTCTTATTTTATTTCAGTCACCTTGTTTATTAATGACGCCAATGAAGCTGTATTACACCAATGTGCCAAATGAACGATGAAGCCAAACTTTGAGAAGGATCCTAGCAAAGAGTTTCCGAGATGTAAATGTCTGAACGGTTGGAATTAAAGAATAGAAATATCAACAGGATGCCAATGTGACGTCTATGGGAAAGAGACTACAGAGTGAAAAATACGTCTTCTGCAAGACAGCGTAAAAGATTTTGGAACATTATTCGTGCAGGAATAACGGGGAGTTAACAGCCCTAGTCCACATACGGCAACAATACTGAGGAATAAACCTCTGATAAGTCCTTCGTGTTCTGTGTCAATTATATAGCCATATGTGTCTCTATTTTTGGTGATATTTGGTGTGGCAGGAATATTTAAAGCATGGACGAATCGTAGACATGTAAAGATGTAAGACATTTTCTGGCGAGAAATATGGTCTAGCACAATACAGAGAACCAACTTATCTATCAGCAGACCTAGATTTTTCGGTGATATTCTGGTAATTCTTACCGATTTTTCTTATAATCAGTTACATTTCAAACACAAACATAGTAACCAGTGGGATCTTTAACAATATGACAGTCACGAACGCACCAATGACTACCAAATACAAATCCTCTATAAAACTTAAATCTTACTGTTTCCGGGTTTTCTACTACGGAGGCATACAAGCCAACTCAGCAACTATCCTTTTCATTGTCGTCTGCCCACTTCAAAACAAAACTTCGTTTCATATCGAATGGCCGCCAAACACCGCGAGTCTCCGCTGAATGCTTCTCGACTATTTACGTCGACTGTAGAACGTCAAAATCTGTTCATTTATTTTTTTTACCACAGATTGATTCCATCTCATTGAAATCTACCTCTGTTATGCTTCTTGTCTGTGGGTTACTAATCTATACATTTGAGGAGCATCTGTAGAGTAAGATTCCTGTTATATGACCGCCGATCTTAGATTTTTCAGTAAACATTCGAGAACCTTATCTTTGAATGTGGTTGTATTCATTCGTGAGATGTCCATTTGTTTTGTATATTTCATTAATTTCCATAGAGAAATGTCTATGGCTGGAATATGGAAATCACAACGTACATTGTATGGAGACGGACAGAATACATTAACATACAGATCATTGTTCTTTTATATTTGTGCTAACTTGTTTCTCCTGTAAAATAGTAAATGTGCGCATTGAAAGATCTTCCACGTATTCTCACCGTCTTCATTTCGCTTTGTGAGCGTCCTGGGTGTGACGATAAACTGCATCCGGAAGCGAGGAATTCTAATCGGAAGGTTTTTGAGGAGCGTGGAGCCACATATCTGTTGTTCTCAGGTGCACCCAGAACCATGGTGGTAGTACCTGCTAGGGTCCCAACTATGGGTAAATAATTAACTCTAAATTGGGGACAAAACACTATGAAAGTGTGAAAATAGTTTTTTATATTATAAATACTAGCAATACATCTTTGAAAAAATATTAGCAGCAATAAATTTTTGAAAAAAGTATATTACCAGCAATAGATTCATAAAGAAGAGACAGATAGATAGATAGATAGATAGATAGCAACAGAGATAGATATATAGGTAGTTGTGAATGAATAGATTGTGGTAGATTGATAGATATGAATAAAATGATAGATAGTTGTGAATGAATAGATAGATAGATAGATAGATAGATAGATAGATAGATAGATAGCAAAAGAGATAAATATATAGATAGTTGCGAATGAATACACTGTGGTAGATTGATAGACATGAATAAACTGATAGATAGATAGGTAGATAGATAGATAGCAACGGAGAAAGATAGTTGTGAATGAATAGAACGTGCTAGATTGATAGATATGAATAAACTGATAGATAGATAGATAGATAGATAGATAGATAGATAGATAGATGTGAATGAATAGATTGTAATAAATAGATTGCTAGATAATGAATAATCTGATAGATAGGTACATAAATAGATGTGAATGAACAGATAGATAGATAGCAACAGAGATAGATATATAGATAGCTGTAAATGAATAGATTGTGATAGATATGTAGATAGACAGATATGAATAAACTGATACACAGTTATGAATGAATAGATTGTAATAGATAAATAGATGTAAATGAATAGATAGATAGAGAGATAGCAACAGAGATAGATATATGGATAGATAATTGTGAATGAATAGATTGTAACAGATATATAAATAGATAGACAGATATGAATAAACTGATTGATAAACGTGAATGAATAGATAGAACGATATAGAGAAACAGAGTTAGATAGATATATAGATAGATAGCTGTGAATGAATAGATGGTGATATATATATATATATATATATATATATATATATATATATATATATGTGTGTGTGTGTGGATAAACTGATAGATAGTTGCGAATGAATAGATTGTAATAAATAGATATATAGATAGATGTGAATGAATAGACTGATAGATTAATAGATATGAATGAACTGGTAGATAGGTGTGAATGAATAGATTGTGATAGATTCATAAACAGACAGATATGAATAAACTGATAGATAGATAGATAGATAGATAGATAGATAGATAGATAGATAGATAGATAGATAGATAGATAGATGTGAAAGAATAGATAGAAACAGTGAGAGATAGTTGTGGATGAATAGATTCTGACAGATTGATAGATATAAATAAAGTGGTAGATAGTTCTGAATGAATAGATAGGTTGATTGATATGAATAAACAGATAAATAACAACAGAGATAGATATATGGATAGATAGTTGTAAACGAATAGATGGATAGATTGATAGATAGCAACAGATATATATATATATATATATAGAGAGAGAGAGACAGATTGTTGTGAATTAATATATTGTGATAGATAGATATGAATAAACTGATAGATATATGTGGATGAATAGAGAGATAGATAGATAGATAGATAGATAGATAGATAGATGTGAAAGAATAGATAGAAACAGTGAGAGATAGTTGTGGATGAATAGATTCTGACAGATTGATAGATATAAATAAAGTGGTAGATAGTTCTGAATGAATAGATAGGTTGATTGATATGAATAAACAGATAAATAACAACAGAGATAGATATATGGATAGATAGTTGTAAACGAATAGATGGATAGATTGATAGATAGCAACAGATATATATATATATATATAGAGAGAGAGAGAGAGAGACAGATTGTTGTGAATTAATATATTGTGATAGATAGATATGAATAAACTGATAGATATATGTGGATGAATAGAGAGATAGATAGATAGATAGAGAGATAGATTGATGTGAATAGATAGATGTGAATGAATAGATTATGATAGATAGATGTGAATGAATAGATAAATAGATATAGATGTGAATGAATAGATTGTGATTGATAGATAGATATGAATGAATTGATAGATATATAGAGCAATAGATAGATGTGAATGAATAGAATGTTGAGAATGAATAGATTTTGATAGATAGATATGAATAAACTGATAGATGTGAATGAATAGATTGTGATAGATAGATAGATAGATAGATGTGAATGAATAGATAGATATATAGAGCGAGAGATAGATGTGAATGAATAGAGAGATAGAATTAGATAGATTTTGATAGATAGATATGAATAAACTAATATAGTTGAATGAATAGATTGTGATAGATAGATGTGAATGAATAGATAGATAGATAGATAGATAGATAGAGAGATAGATAGATAGATGTGAATGAATAGATTGTGATAGATAGATGTGAATGAATAGATTGATAGATGTAAATGAATAAATTGTGATAGATAGATATGAATGAATAGATAGATAGAGAGATAGATAGATGTGAATGAATAGATTGTGATAGATAGATGTGATTGAATAGATTGTGATAGATGTGATTGAATAGATTGTGATAGATAGATGTGAATGAATAGATTGTTATAGATAGATAGACATGAATGAATAGATAGATAGATAGATAGATAGATGTGAATGAATAGATTGTGATAGATAGATAGATAGATAGATAGATAGATAGATAGATAGATAGATAGATATACTGGTGGAACTAAGGAATCTATTTCATTCGAACATTTTCGTGATCCTTGCGACATTTCGTCGTTTGTCAGTGAAAAAATGTGATGTAGGGTAGAAAATTATCCGCCACTGACCAGGACGCTGGGTCACTTTTTGAATCTATCGAAACTGAAAAGTGATGACCTGACAGCTCCTGCATTTTTATAACAGCAGCACTCTATTTTGGCTCTTGCAAATGTAGAGGATAGCAGGAGCTGTACAGTGAACCGACCCTATTTCTAGCCTATTTAGCGATGGATCATATGTACGAGTTCCACTGGAGATCGAAGTTGAGCTTAAGTCCCAATAGCCGCCCAAAGAACAGGGCCCCTCAAAGGGAACATTTACTCATCGTGATCCGTCAAAGTTCTGGATCCGATCGGTGATAATGGAACGCCACTAGTTTGGCTTTTGAGGCAGTGAATGTGACCAGATCTAACCCAGAAGAGAGATCAGCTGCCAATCTCTTTTGTCTAGTGTTTTGAAGGTGCACCTATATACCATTGTATCACAAGCATAGATAGCCACAAATAATCGGTGTATATTCTTAGGTAAATCACTTATGTATCGTAGAAAGAAGGTTGGGCCGAGAATTAACCTTGGGGTAAGCCTGCGTTTGCAACTTAGACCTCGGAGGACTGGTCGTTGGCAACTACATTCAGGGAGCTACCTATTAGACTTAGTAGTGGTAGTAGTAGGCATCCTTTTATTTTGTAGCGCCCTGTCTGGTGAAGATTCAGTCTTTTTGTGGTGAAACTGGAGTGACCTCTAACAGTAGAAATAGTAGAAAAAATAACCGGAAATATAAATCGGGGTTTAATACTAAGAAATTATAAAGTACTTTTTTCACTGTGTCGTATGTCCTTGAGGACACGTGGCACAGTAGATAAAGGCGTTAGTTAGATCCAGTGACAATACCTGGTTTAGGCAGTGGAGAACTTTCAGGGGGGAATTAACAGGAGATAACTGACATCCTTTAGACATGGCACGTGGAACTAGAACAGTCTACCCCAGCGAGCGAAATAAAGGTTTCAGTTCGACATTCCAACCACCTGAAGAATGCCGGAGCGTACAACGGCCGAAACGTTGTGATAAATCTGGCAACAAAGATGAGGAAAGTAGTCGAAAAATGTAAATAGTGTTCTTTTTTCATATACAATAAAATAATTTCTAGGTCCTTTTGACAGTACTAACACCTATACTATCAAGTGATAAGAAATGAACGTGTTTGGAAGGACTCTATAATTGAGAAGAATCTTCAAATGATTTATTAGTTAGAAAACTTATGCAGGAACCCTTTATGCTACACCTTGTCAAATGCCTTTGAAATATATAATACGATTTTCTTTTATATTTGTTACCTAGTGCCTCACTGCATTGTTGATAGATAGATAGATAGATAGATGTATATAAAGCAATAATTTTAGGCTTACTTTTTGACAAGTAATGTTCACGCAATATTCGTAGCGCTGCACGTCCGTTGCCCTTCGCTTCTCTCATTATTAAAGACAAACTCCTGTCATCCAGGCATTGTATTAATTCGGCGAACACGGTCGCATTTCTTTGCATAAAATCATCATCTTCTTTCTGGTCATCTTGGCAAAGAATGATCTCATGAAGTTTTTGTATTCTAAGGTAGCCTAAGAATTTGATTTTCCATAATTCGTACTTGGTTTCATTTCCGTCAAAATACAGTCGTAATCTGGGCTCGTGACCAATGATGACCATGTTTGCCATAGTCTATGAATATGGAATCCAGTGAAGTTCGTAATCTCTTCAATATCAGAGGTTAGCAGTGTAGTTTCGGAGAAAGTAGCGGCTGTTAATTCTTTAAGTCTTCGATATCAGATTGGCAGTGAAGATATTTTGGGAGAAAAAACAAAATGGCTGCCTTTATACACGTCGGATTGAATATTTTGAGCTTTCTGATTGGTTAACCCTTCTCTTGGTGGACTATAAAATGAGTCAGCTCATTTTGGCTAGCTCACTAGTACATAGATATATCCAAAAAACTGTAACATCGATTTCATGAAGGAACAAACACAACGGTCATATTGTTGAAATAGATAAATAAAGACCGTCGTAAAATTGCCTCCCTGGGCCTATTCTATAAATACTTCCTTTACAACTGTTTTGATGACTCCTTCGCTAGGCTACCTAGATTTATGAATTTAAGCGCAGAACTTGACTGGCGTCAAGATCTCTTTAATTTACAGTCGAAATGGCTAGATGTAACTTTAAGTTCAAGGCTAACAGTTTCTTTTCTCGCCTGTGGAACTTCCTTCCGGCTCCACGCTTTCCAGCCAACTTTAATCTTCAAAAATTTAAATGCAATGTCAATCGCTATCTAATGTCCTCCTAATTACTCTTCCTTTGTTCTCACTCTTTAGTAATATTTCTGGTCTCCACAACTAGTAACCCCTTGTGTCTTAGTGGCTTTACTACCTTGCTTGGTCACGACACTCGATTAAAAAAGAGAAGAAAAGATAGAAAAAATGTTTACAATTTTGAAAGTAATAAAAAAGATATGTCGATTTCTTGAAAGAGAAAGAAAATAAAAAAGAACTGTTAAAATGTTGGAAGAAAGAAAGAAAGAAAGAAAGAAAGAAAGAAAGTAAGAAAGAAAGAAAGAAATATATATTGATTTCTTGAAAGAAAAAGAAAATAAAAAGAACTATCACATTGTTGGAAGAAAGAAAGACAGATGGAAAGAAAGAAAAAGATAGAAAGAAAGAAAAAAGATAGAAGGAAAGAAAGAAAGAAAGAAAGAAAGAAAGAAAGAAAGAAAGAAAGAAAAAGAAAGAAATATATATTGATTTCTTGAAAGAAAAATAAAATAAAAAAGAACTATCACATTGTTGGAAGAAAGAAAGAAAGATGGAAAGAAAGAAAAAGACAGAAAGAAAGAAAAAAGAAAGAAAGAAAGAAAGAAAGAAAGAAAGAAAGAAAGAAAGAAAGAAATATACATTGATTTCTTGAAAGAAAAATAAAATAAAAAAGAACTATCACATTGTTGGAAGAAAGAAAGAAAGATGGAAAGAAAGAAAAAGATAGAAAGAAAGAAAAAAGATAGAAAGAAAGAAAGAAGGAAGGAAAGAAAAAAGATAGAAAGAAAGAAAGAAGGAAGGAAAGAAAAAAGATAGAAAGAAAGAAAGAAGGAAAGAAAGAAAGAAAGAAAGAAAGAAAGAAATAAAGAAAGAGATACAAAGAAAGTAAGAAAGATATATTGATTTTTTGAAAGAAAAAGAAAATAAAAAAAGAACTATCACATTGTTGAAAGAAAGAAAGAAAGAAAAAGATAGAAAGAAAGAAAAAATAGAAAGAAAGAAAGAAGGAAAGAAAAAAGATAGAAAGAAAGAAAGAAGGAAAGAAAGAAAGAGATACAAAGAAAGTATGAAAGAAAGAATGCCAGAAAGATATAACGATTTCTTGAAGAAACAAAACAAAAAAGAAATATCATTGGAAGAAAGAAAGAAAGATAATTATGCGCCAGAATGTTAAACTCTTACAGAGACTAACTACAAAGAGAGAACGAATGATGTCGATCTCAGGTAAAAATCAAAGAAGTGAAATTATGAGAGAGACCTGACGAAAATATCAAATATATTCGGAGAAAAAAAGATAAAAAGTAGGAATTATTAATGAATTAAACTTTTCAAATAAAAAGAAAGACAAAACTAGGGAAAATCTCCTAGAAGGGCCAAGGCAAATAATATCAGAATATGGTTGAAAATCAACAAAACCTAACGACGAAACACACAAGGACCATGAAACACATAAAATAGCAAAAAGGCTTCAGTCTCGTCTCCAATGATTTTTCTTTCATTCATTCAGCGACTGATTAAATAACGTTCTAACGTTTGTTTTCAAACAAAACAAACGCAGTTGTTTCTCGGATTTTTTTTTTCATCGGACAGATTTGGAGAATATTTTTTATTTGCTCAAAATCAATGGCGAAACGTAATCTACGCCAATGTTTGAACTTTTTGCTGTTTGACGATAAATATTTCGCTGCTGTATACAACATTGTAAAACACGCATAGATCCCTTTACCACGATCATTGTATCATTAGCATTATTAGTATTATTATTAGTATTACTATTATTAGCATTATTAATATTAGTAGTAGTAGTATTAATATTATTAGTTGAATTATTACTATTAATATTATTATTAGTAGTATTATTACTAGTATTATTAATATTAGTATTATTACTAGTAGTAGTATTATTATTAGTAGTAGTAGTGATATTAGTATTATTATTAGCAGAAATATTATTATTATTATTATTATTATTATTATTATTATTATTATTCCTCGTTCACGATTTATCAAAACATCCTTCAAAATTACAAAGGAATTGTTGGAATATAATGCCTGAAATATAATCAGGGTTGCCGGCTGTCAACAAGGAAACCTGCTTTTACATCAAGCCCAGTGTATGTGTTTGTTAATTCATTCATCTTTCCACCAAATTCCATCAGATGCGTATGTGGTGTCTCTTCAGAGCGTGGGAGATTCCTATCCTTCATCGCTCTGAATAATATTTGCTATTCATTCCAGTCCATGTTTTGACATCTATTGACATTATCACGTTACGTAGTTTCCCCCATGACTCCTTCTCGTTGTCTACCTCTGACCTTTAATAGGTCATGTCAGCGTCAAATTCCCCAAACACTGTTTCTTCGATACGTGTCCCCGACATTACAACTATCTTTTTCGAATCCAATGGCTCATTTTCAAGCTCATTCTCATTTAAACTTCCTCATTCCTCGTACGCTCCGTATATGTTATTCGCGGTAAACTTCTGAAGTTTTCACTGTTTCCTCTATTTTCTCTTCATCATAAAATTCCAATACTTTCTTCTTTATTTCATATGAAATTTTCCTGTTTATTAATACTTTGCTTGCCTTTTGGAAGGCATGTTTCACGATCCCGATGCGCCTTCGGCTTTCGGTGTCACGTTTTCCGTCCTCTGTTAGAACCTTTCTCCGATATTTAAACTTCTCTACTTGCTTGTTGCTGACATTTCCAATTCGTAGTTCGCACCTTGTGCATTTTCTGTTGCTGACAACCAGACATTCTGTCATCTAACAGTGCTTTTATAGTTAGTCCTTTTTTCTCGCTTTCCTTTACTACTTTGTTTAGAAGGTACTGCCGTTTTCTTTCTATATGTTCAGGTAGATCAAAAGACAGATAAAATAGAGGACACTGGCGAAATATATGTACACTCCTTATTCCTTTTTCTCAGACAAAAGTAATCAATGTTCAGATTAAATATGGAAAGGAAATAAGGATAAGGAAGAAAATAAGAAGATACAGGAAAAGAATGAGAAAAGACCAGATCTATGAGATAATGGTCAATTTAGTCGCTCATTTCTGTGATATCAACGGACACTCGCTGCCACTTTTGTAATGTCAACGAATACTCATTGTCACTTTCGTAATACTCGTTGGAGTAGAGACTTTGTATTCGCAGATACAACTATAGTAACGCCGTTGAACAATACTGGTGTCAGACGCCTTCGAATAACACTCGAACTAATAGTACTTGCTTGGTAATACTCGCTCGAATAGTAACCACCAAATAATGATCCGAATACTAATAAGTATAGTGCGATATTCACTAACCACCCACGCGATCGGATGCGGCATAAGGCCAACTATGTTGTATTGTATCCGAGCCTGTAGTCTCGGTCAAAATATGCCCGTATTCCTCGTAAAAAGCGAGGTCGGATAGCTGTCTACCACGCAGACGAGATTCTGCCCTTCGACACGGCGCCGTCTGGGTTCCTCTCTACCCGGAGACAGAGAGTTTGACAAGCACACTTTGGAAGTGATTTGGAGAGTGATGATATTCACCTACCACCCCACGCGGTCGGATGTGGCACAAGGCCGAGTTTATTGTGGGGCATCCGAGCCCATAGGCTCGGGCAAAAATATCCCCTAAACCCCGTAAAAACGGGTCGGGTAGCTGTCTACCAACTCAGACGAGACTCTGTCCTTTGGCATATCCTCGTCTGGGTTCCACTCTGCCCAGAAGCAGAGAGTTCGACAAGCACACCACCGAAGTGATTCGGAGAGTGATGATTATCACCTAGCGCACGACGTGGTCGGATGTGGCACAAGGCCGAGTTTATTGTGGGGTATCCGAGCCCGTAAGCTAGGACAAAAAATACCAGTAGACCCCATAAAAAACGGGGTCAGGTAGCTCTCTACCACACCAGACGAGACTCTGTCCTGGTAATTCGGAGAGTGATGACATTCACCTACCACCCCACGCGGTCGGATGTGGCACAAGACCGAGTTTATTGTGGGGTATCCGAGCCCGTAGGCTCAGGCAAAAATTCCCCCTAAATCCCGTAAAACGGGTCGGGTAGCTGTTTACCACCCCAGATGAGATTCTCCCCTTTTTCATAGCATCGTCTGGGTTCCTCTCTACACAGAAGTAGAGAGTTCGACATGCACACCTCCGAAGTAATTCGGAGAGTGATCACTTAGACGCCACGCTAATTTCCATATATACATTTCTTTTACGATCACATGATCTACATATTCAAAATGGGATCGCCTCTGTTTGCTCTCTGTTGATTTGTGTTCAAACTCCATTGTCGGCAACAACACTTTATCCCTATATGACACTTATATCATTGGTATTTTCACGGGCTCAGTTAATAAAGATGAATCATGGGTCCAAATTACACAAACAGATTCTATTTTGTTATTCATGCTAAGATAGAATGCATGTTTGCTAGCAAAAGAGACAGACCAACGTATGCGCTGCATTTTGAAGATTTCATTTCAAGCAGCATGTAAACTATAATGATACTGGAAAATATCTCTAGAAAAAAAGTGCTTATATTCTATGTAAGATAGAATCTCTTATATGGCATTGACCGTCCTGATGGTTTGTTGCCTTGACGTGATAAGACGACTTGCGTGCTTCAACACCCACTTGAAGTATGTAGGCGGGAGCTTCGGCACTTAGCTGGTCCAGCCAAGCTAAACTGGTCTATGGGTTAGGAGGAGCCAGACGAAAGACACACCTTGATCCTCCAGGTTGGGGGTTGTGAAGTAGGCTAACAACCTACCCACTTAAAAACTAGCTTGTTACGGAGAGCTCAACGGTATCTTCAAACAACGCCATGGCCGAGGAAGAGTCCTCCAAAGTGGAGCATATGACGCATGCTTGTGAAAATCCCCCGGGAAGGCAGCCATCGCGATATGGGCTGAGCTGAAAAGGATCGTCCGGAACCCCGTCTGTTGAAGAGATGTTGTTGCGGCCCTATGTTCCCCAAGGAATTAAGAGGCATAATGATGATGGTTTGGAGTTGAGCACTAACAACTGAGGTTTATAGGAAAAGGGCAACTTTGTCCGTCAAACAAAATATAGGAAGCTGTTTTTTGTTTATTTATTTGAAGAGATAGGTAAATAACTAAGCCGAGATGCCAGGTCAGGACCGATATCATTGCAAATTCTTCTTTTGGGTTTTTATCAAGAGTCACTAAATACATAGCCGAAGCACCAGACAAGATGTGACAGAAATATTCAATGAGTGGAGGAATGATAGATTTTTAAAACGTGTCAGACAAGAGACTTCGAGTTACTTCTAAAAGTGTCTCCTTATTTTAGACAATACGTAAGAAGAACCCCCCCCCGTACGAAATAAACGCATCAATAATCAATTCTTTTATGGATATTTATTCGGCATAAGCTGAAGCTGACAGGAAATTAAATATGCTTATAAAAAACTGAGTGGTGCCAATATCTATTCATACCACTTTCTACCAAACTCCTTTGTCGTTTTGAAAATCAGTGATTGAAATTCTCTCATGTTATTTGGAGCTGCCTTCCTGATGGTGTGTCGCCTTGACGTGGTAGGACGGCTTCCGTGCTTTAACGACCCCCAGAGCTATGTGGGCGGTGGCTTCGGCCTTTAGCAAGTCCGACCAAGCTGAACAGGTT